GTGAATAAGTCATTTTCATGCCCATTAGACCCTGCTCGCCTCTTTTGCTTTGAACCCCTCCAGCAATTGAATTGAATTAAGTTTCCTTGGGACATGTGACTGTAAATTTGTACTCTGAGGTCAACAGTCCGATCCACTCAGTACAAATCACTGCGTGCGAACGTCATAATTGGCGGTGTGAGGCAGTGTGTACTACTAGTTTCCTTTCTTGAGAAAATGCAGGAATATATGCGGGTAAATTTTAGGTCCATGGTGTGACAGGTACATTCACTTGTGATCCGCCATCCAACGTAACTTTTGTTGGGCGCATCTGCTAGTCTTGCAGAGGACAATTTCTGAATAGATGGCAAATCCTATAGCTACAGCAATGAACGCTACTGCCACCTGCTTGATTCCCCACTTCTGATGAGCCTTTCGAAATAGCGCCGAAGCGAACTTTATTCGGTTATTATTCAATGATGTCTGTCGACTGGCCATACCCCTCAGTTAAATCTGTAGTTTTTCTTCAGAGCGTCTCTTGTCTGTAAGTGGTAGCACGGGTAAAACTTCGAGCCATTTAAATCATGAGCCAAGCCGATTGAGACCATGTTGTTAACAAAAGGCTTCAATATTTTTCTTAAAAATGTATGTCCTAAGACTTTTTTGTACCCGACGAGGGCACTAGTGATGTCCCAGATGGTTGCCTCGCCAACAGGAGCTGCAACTTCGGACGAGAATTTGAATTGCATCCACTGATCCACTGTATATTTAATCGCCGACCGATCCACTCGTCCTATCCTGGAGGACAATGCTTCTGCCACACATACAAGCGGATATAATTTATTGTCGAGTTTTTCTATCCCACCTCGCTGCAATTTTCTTCTATGCTGACAATAAACCTAGTCATGTGCATGAAGAGGTCGTACACAGCGCTGAAAATGTCCACTCAAGAGTCGCAGCGATCTCACTTAACATTACTGTTAGTCGGCGCCGTCGGAGACGAATCGCTTGGCGCTATTCGATGACTCCGAGTTGTACATGAGAGCATTCTCTCTTGGTATGGGCAAAAAAATTGTCCCTCAATTTAAGTGATACACATTGCATAACCTTTTCGAAGCAAGTGTTTGCGTTCAAGATAACAGACTGAGGCATACCTCCTACGCTCTTCATTTTTTAAGTTAAATCTGTCAAACCGTTCCGTTTTTATCGCCAAACCTTGTTTGCACACAGACAAGCCGTTTGAACGTTACTTTTGACGTCTAACCACCCATTTAAGAATGTGAGTGGTTGTTTTGTGTCCCAAACGTTTTCCTTTCTTGGAATTCACTGCCTGTGAGTTCATTCGAGTGTCCATACATTGGGCTGTTGTAGTCAGACTTGGACAACCACATCAACCTCTTGAACTTTCTAAATCTACTTACTCGGTAAACCGACTGCTGTTAAACTGGTATTCTGAAGCAGTGTTTTCCCGGGATAAATTTGAACAAGGCGAAGGCGACTTTGCCTTCACCTTGTTCAAACTGGTATTCATCTCTCTTCTGTATATGTTTTGGTGAACCCACCTTATATCCGCCCTCAGGAGTCGTCTTTCAACCGAGGAAAGTTGTCAGGTAAAATTGCAGTGAGGTCGGAACCTTACATTACCACACTTCATATTATCAAAAAGTATCTAAGTGCCGATCTGCAGTACTGTTTTCAAACTCTGATTTCGGCCATTTTGAGGAGCTTAAAAAGTCCTATTTCCCTCACCACGGAGGCCTGCTACTTCGGTCTTAACAAAACCTTCGTTTGGTGGTAGCAGTGTGCACATTTTCATTAAACATTCGAGGTTTTCTGCCGTGGTCAGTGGGCCCCACCACCTTGCACAAATTGGGCACACCAGATGTCGCATTTTTTATCAGCCATGTGCATCGAAAAGGCACCAGGACGACAACTTTGTCAGTGGAATGAAAGCGTGAGTGAATCCTGACCTCTCAGAGTTGATAAATGAATGGTTAGACAACCAGGTTGCTGCCGAAGGGGTAACTAAAATTCACAATAATTAAGCTGGATGGGAGGACCTGTGGTTGATCGCACGAATCCGCTCTCTCTTCGACTTATCTTATTCTTCGTCCCTGTTCCTCCTTCTCCCCTATCATCGTCTTCCATCTTCGTCTTCCTCCTGCCTTCCTCTTTGCTGTTTTCTTCGTGGTCAGCGTAGGCAGAAAAGCGCTCTTAAGAAGCACTTTTACCACACACTGCTTTCCGTTCCGACTCCTACTTCTGCAGACTGGTTTTTCCTCACTAACGATAACACTATTCAGTAGTTTCGATTGAACGTTTTGTGACAAAACATATCAATCTGTTCAGGCTGTCAGGGAAGAGGGTCTTAACATAGACCTAGGGGGTTGAAGTTGTAATGCATGAAGACGGAATTGTCTTCACGATCCCTGCATTTTGCGACAATTGCTGGCTTCTCAACTAGTCTGGGCGATGTAAACAGTTCTGTTCAATTGCGACAGAAAAATTAGGCGTTGTCTGGACTTTTGGAGTATTCCAGACAGTTCTAGTTAGATCGCCCGGCAAGGGTTGCGGTGATCGGCTGTTTGATTAAGCATTTCCTCCTTAGTTGGTGTCTGGTGTTCTCAGTCTCTCTCTGAAGTTGTCAGCTGAGCAAATTAATCAATATGCCCTCACACAGAGAGGACTTAAGTTGATTCTGAACGGTTGTTCTAATAGTACGGCAAATCATAAATTGACGGTCTCATTGAGGATGCCCCGCTTACTGAGCTGAGTGTGCTTTCAAAAATAAGAAGTTACCTCATGCAGACTATGGGGACATCACACCTCCAGAAGACAGTACTCACAGGACGGAGACAAACTGCCGACCCCCAAATTTACGCTGCATTCACAACCTCGGAGCTATCGCAGCCACACCGATCAGTGGCGGTATTCTCCCTTTCCTTTCTTGCTTTGTAAACCCATTATACCCGGGTCGATTGCTTTTCCAGCCCGTAAAGCAGACGATATTCATATATCAGCGAGTGTATCAATAAACCGTGAAATACTTCGGCTAGTTTCGACATGACTCAAATCTCTTAATTTGGGTTGTTCGGGTGCTTTTTTGTTGGAGTTGGAACAGCGATTTGTTTATTTCTGGTTTAAAACGACGTGCAGTAACCGACCAAACTTAACTCTCTAATGAGATGACCCAAACGCCCTTGCGAACACCTTACGCCTTGATGATAAGGCTGCTGATAATGAACTTACAGCGCTCGGACGTTATAAGATTGGACAGATTAGTACCGCCGTTTCACTCGTCGCTCGAGCTTCGCGGCGCGTCGATGGAAAGTTCAGCCAGTGTATGAGCTGTGTGATGTTTATCGCGATGCGAAAACTATGCATAACCTTGGATCTGTCCCTGATAAGGAAGGTTTTCTGCCGTGAGTCGAATCCATCTTGATCGTGGCCAGTGCTCTAATACTGAGCACATCAAGATCATTTTTTCGAAAATTCTGAAATTGAATTCGAG